AATGAGATTAGGTTACTGCCTCACATAAACTTTTGCCAATTTTGGAGAAATCTGAATCCAGTATCTATGTTACTAATATTATCTGTATTTTGGAGGTTCCTTTTGCCTTCCCCCCCAACCCCAGCAATAAGGATGAGAAATTAACTTTTAAAACTAAAACTCAAATTAACATTATTGTGAGCTATCTGAGCTTGTGTGAACACAATTGTGTAGTTGGCTTAACAAAAAAAGGGTGCTCTATTGTTTGGTAGAAAAGCAGTTAAGACTTCAAAACCAGTTGAAACCAATGCATACGCTGCCTTCATGGATTTCCTTAGTTTGCTGTCCTACCTGTGGAGAACCAGCAGTGCAAGAGGGTCACAGAAGTGTTTTGAGAGGGCTTTTTTGTTGTTTTTGTTCTGCTTTAACTGCAGATAAATTTATAAGGGGTTAGATTCTTTGGTAATACTTTCTTTTTAGAAAGCTTCTGTATGAAACTGGAAGGGTTTCTTTGGGTTTTTATTAAGAGCTCCACCTTGTTGCTGGTACTACTTAGGAGTTTATTGAGAGATTCTTTTTCTATAGAGGTTCCTTATGGCATTTTAAGCAAGTCTGCAAAAAAGCTGCAAAGAAAGATCACTGGGACAAAGCAAGGAGCATTCTTTGCTGTTGTCACAGTTTTGTTAGTGCTGGGGCATATGTGGAAATGTTTTTTGTTTGGTATTTACCCCCCGGAAGTGCACTCCAAGTTAATTTGGAAACTTGCTGACAGGAAATTAACAAAAAATATCCAAAGTGAAAATTAATTTTTTAAATGTAGTTGACATAAAAATGTTGAGTGACTTATTTTTTTAATGGAAGTCACAACATTTAGACATGTAAGAATATAACTGTCTTTTAAAATGTAAAATAGCTCCATGAGACTACTTAACTATCTGTACATGACATCTTCTAGTCTCTTTAACTACTGTTTGCTTTGTTAGATGAAACACGGATTTGAAAATTAAAGACTGTCGTGGTTTGGAAGAGCAGTTGTTATCAATGAACTCTGTTTCTTGGAAAACTAAGAGCACTGAGCTGGTAACTTTGGCTTTGGAGTACTGAAGCCTATGTTTCAGGCAGATGTGAAGGATTTTGATGATCAAGGATACTGTGTATTTCAGTGGGCTATTTCCATTTCCATCCTCCGTGAAAGTGTGCACCTTCCCCCTGGCTGTGCTTGAAAAATCATGAAAGAGCCGCAGGCTGGAAAGCAGCTAAACCAATCTAGATTAAAGAGGCTGCAGTTTGGGATAGTTGAGGGCCTCCTTACTATGGCAATTAGAAGCCCAAGCATAGAGGCTGAGTCAAGTGTTGTTACAGTTTTCACCAGTCTTCTGGCTGCTGACCTGATATTGGAAGATTTTAATCTAACATAGAACAAATATCATCGTCATCGTTCATATCTCTGAAAGCAGCAGTGTGCTTACTGTCTTTTATGTTTGATTCTTGTAGGCACTTCGAATGTGTAGCTTATACCCTGTATCCTGCTTTTGAATGTGTACTGCAATATCATAACACTTCATCTTTCAGTGGAAGAAGTAGCTTTAGAATGAAGCCTAGTAAAAACCTCAGGGCTATACTCTTGTCTCTGACCTCTAAAAGAGGTCAAACCAGCTGAATTCTCATTTATGGAAGAAAACTTCCCATGCTGCATAAGCACTGTACGCATTTAGGGAGATTCAGGAGAGTTGATCTTGAAGTGTCATTTAGTTTGGTTGTTCTGTTTTCATGAAAATGTTCCCTGTAAGAGCCCTTGAACACACACTAATGAGGAAAGAGGTGAATAGAAATAGACCACAGAATTCTGAATCCCTATTGTACCATCTAACGAGAGACTAAACTTTGTAATTAAATATACTGAACAACTCTCTCCAAGCCTCTTCACAATTCAAATTTGAACTTGAGTATTGTAGTGTGAGCCCATCTTGAATCATGTGTCCATGAAAAAGCTCAAGGTCAGGAAGGCCCAGAACTACCCATCACTTCCTTTTCTGTTGGGAACACTTGTAAGATAGCTCTTATTTTTGGTATCTGACATTCAAGATGAGAACTGGAGTGGTTGGAGGCATGAAGGTCCTTGCAGAAAATATCAGACCAAGTGACAACGTTGTTCCATCCCTCAATCAGGACACAATGCTGTATAGTTGCCACAGAGTCCTGTACAGCTGCTAGATGAGCAGTGTGTGAGTCAAGATCAATGCTGTGGCATTCCCCTTCTGTACCTTTTTATTAAGCAAAACTCTTTGGACAGAAGCAATCCTACCAAATTTAGGAGAGTTTGGGAAGATTCCCCTTCCCTGCCTCTTGGCTTAAGGCTGTAGTTCACCAGAAAATGCCATATAAAAAAAGGGAAATTAGAAGGCTGGAGCACCTCTCCTATGAGAGCAGGCTGAGAGAGTTGTGGTTGTTCAGCCTGGAGAAGAGAAGGATCAGGAAAGACCTTAAAGTAGCCTTTCAGTACCTAGAGGGGCTGACAAGAAATCTGGAAAGGGTTTTTTTTACAAGGGCATGAAGAGATAGAAGAGGAATGGCTTTAAACTGATGGGAGATTTAGATCTTGTGAGGGTGCTGAGGCGCTGGCACAGGGTGCCCAGAGAAGCTGTGGCTGCCCCATCCCGGGAAGTGTTCAAGCCCAAGTTGGACAGGGCTTTGAACAACCTGGTCTAGTGGAAGGAGTCCCTGGCCTTGACAGGGCATTGGAACTGGATGAGTTCCCTTCCCACCCAAACCAGTCTGGGATTCTGTGAGAATCATCAGCCTCTCTGACAGGTCACTAATTTGGCAGTGAGAGGGGTAACCATTGTCTGGGCCAGCACTGGGGAGGACTGTGAAGTCTCTTTGACTGGTTAATAGCAACATACTGAAGTGTCAGGCAGGCTCATTAGGGACATGCTGTTAATTTGGTCAGACAAGCGCTGCCAGGCTCCATTGTGTAGAATTAAGCAGTGTGAATGGAGCCCGTAAGCAAAGCTGCTGGAATCTGCTTTTGTGTTCCCCTTGGACGGCTGTCCTGGTTTTGGTGTCTTTTCCAGTTCAAAGTGGCCACGTGGAATTTTGGCACTGTGAGTGTTACCCAAAGGGTAGTTATACACTTAGTGAGGAATTGGCCTGCACAGAGGGCTGCACATTTCCAGCACTTCTGTCACTAAATACCTATTAGCTGTGATTAGACAGCTTCTCCACCTGTAGTGGAGGCTGCCCTCCTCCCAAAAAACAAGAGGAATTTATGCCTTTGTCTATTCAGATGTAGGGATATCTATTTAATGCAGTGCCCCATTTAGGGAGGTAGTGTTTTTCCAAGGGTAGAAAAACGCTGTGTGGGAGGCAATACTCCTTACAAACAAGCACTGAGTTTCCGCATTTTACTTTACCAGGGCTTTCTATTAGAACAAGGCTGGAGGGAGGGAGATTTGGAATGATTCTGGGAAGCTTTGACTCAAGAAGGAGAGAATGATTCATGGATTATTATTGTTATTTATCAAGGAGAACAGACTATTAAACCTAATCTTTTGCTTATCTTTCTCTTTGAAAACTTAAAGCACTTATGCAGTGACCCCAAAAGAGTTTGTGGGTTTGAACCAAGGTCCTTTGGCATAAAAACATAAATCCCAGCTGTGGGTGCTAGTGCAGAACCATTTTAAGGTTGATTTATTCCAAGATTTATTCCTATTACCTTCATACTTGATAATTATTATAATAGTGAATCCTCAGTGCATTCCTTCTCTGTTTGTGAAGCAGGGTGGTTAAGTCATTCAGGGGAAGTGGGGGCAGCAGAGGCAATTTGCAAAACAGATCTGACAAGTCTTGAGACTTGCCACTTTCTGCATTGACAATGCTCAGTTTATCTCCAGTTATTGCTGGAGTTTTGGTGTAAGAGGTCATTCATTCGAGAGTCACTCTTTAGTTTTCATGGAGAAAAATCTGATTACTGAGAAGAGCGGCTTGTTTAGTAGCAACCTTTTTCTTCTTAATTTGGAAATGAGTATTTACTTCTCAAAAATAACTTCAAAATGTAAATTCAGTTACAGGGTGTACATTAGAAAGAAGTTTTTAAGCTCTAGCTTAACATAAGTTTAAGAACTATGAGGTGATTTACATTTATTTTTGAATCCTGATACTATTAAGATCAGTGCAATGTAAACTATGTTATAATTAATATTTGAGAAGAGAATTTAAATAAAGGAAGAATTAAAAACATGGTCTGTGTCACACTGTAATTTCATTCTTGTACTTCAGAAGATAACATAACTGAGTCTTTAGCTAATTCCTTAGGTGAGTTCATTAAAGAATCAAACTAGATTCTGTCCAGTTTATGAAAATGGAAAGGCACTTGACTGTGGTCACACAGTCTTATCTTTTCCACTTACGGTATCACACTGTAAAGGCCCATACACCACTAATACTTTTGGATATGTTGTCAGTGGCTGAGAGTCAGTGAAGCTTCCGAGCTTTTAACTTACTCTTAACTGGTGAAGACTGTAACAAATATCTTCATTATCCTCCTGAAAAATCCTGTTGGCAAAGCACTCTCATCATATCTAAGCCACTGGCTTGGATTTTGCTTCTATTGTCTGTTAAGTTGGGTAGCAGTGTAATCTCAGCAGAGGTAGAAAATGCGTGAGAAGACTCTTCTAATGAGAAAAATTAAAGAAAAAGGACAAGTGTCCTTTGTCACAGCTTGGATAGAAACTTGAACTTAGATCTGTATTTTACTGCACTAGGGAAGGCAGAAATCCTCAGCTTCCAATACTGTGAAGGGAACACATTTGACCAACCCAATGCCTATACTAGAAAGATTTCATTATAGGCTCAAGAAAACTGATTTCTGTCAGTAGGTCTAATAAACACATTGTGCAAAGTTAAGTTTCCGAGGTTTTGGGTAATCAACAGAAATCTTAATTAAGTTCTGATAAGAATTTATCAGTAATTATAGACATTTACTTGACATGTAAGCAATCCTCTAAGGTCACCAAAAATAATTTATTGGTTCGTATTTATTAATGCAGTTGAAACTTCTTTTGCTTAAAGCTTCAAAGTAATGTCAGCCACATTGCAGTGGAAGACATGTAATAAGGTATCACAAATCCATCAATAGTTTCTTAGTAAAGCTGCAAAATAAAGTCCTCATTTTATGCCTGGAATGAACTTGTCCTGTGTCTTGTCGGACAATCTGCGTAACAGTTTTGACAGAAATAAGATAAACTCTGTCAGGATTGTTAGTACCTTCCAAAACTGAACTCCAAAAGTGAGCCATACAGTCAAGCATGGGAGTGTATGGGTAAAATTACAAGGAGAGGCTGTATAAGAACAAACATATGTCAAACATAGGGTATAGGCTTCCTCCTAATGGGCTTGGGCTTTGTAGGCCATGTAGGTTGCCAGAATTGAACACGATACACAGTTTGTGGCTTTTGTGTCTTATTTCTTAATGAATGCATGATGTACAAATCAAATACTGCAGCAAAGTATGAGGAGCTATAGTTACCCTACCAAGTGGCCTGTCTCCTGTCCTTGATTTGACCCCTGGTGTTCTCCGCTGCTATCCTTATCTCCCTCTCTAAATTAGCAATCTGCATAAAGAAAAGGAATATCAAAGATCAATCCCAGCAGGACAGTTCCTCATAATGAGACTAAAGGCTCTGTTTCATGGAAAGATCTTGTCAGTCAACATGCTAAAATCCACAGTCTGAGCAATACATCCCAGAAACCATTACTGGAGAGTGTGGTTAAAAACTATTTCCCTGGGAGTGATTTTACTTCTTGGGCAAGTCTCTCACAGGTGAAATCTATTAGGAAGGCCAGACCACTTCCTATCAGCAAGCAAGCAAGGACAATCCAAAGAATAGGCAATGATGTGTTGCCTTATAAGCAGGGAAGGTCTAAGGAAGGACTGCAGATTTTAGTGGAAGTAGAATTTTTTGGGGAAAATCCATCGTCTGTAATGGGATTTTGAAAGGATTTATCTATGCAAAATTGTCCAGTCTACAGAACTGGTAGTTTAAAAAACAAACAGAAATGCTCAAAGAAAAGCTTATGCAGCCTGACCTGGTTATTGAATGGAAGTTGCCCTCTTTTTGTGTAGTATAGGTGGGACTGACAATAGATTTAAGTCATCTGTTATCATAGTCATTGCTATGCAGTGTGATTTACTTTGCCATAGCTAATTTCAGCTGCAGCAGCCAACGCTGATAGTTCAAGTTGGGTATCACCACCATTTGCGATCTGAGATGCAGCCCTCTTTTTTTACATACACACACCTCGCTTGTTTTTTCCGGGAAGATGATCAAAAGAATCAACCTTACAGGGATCTTCCTCTTCACCTGAGAGGCACGGAGTTAGGTAGGTAGTTACTCTTGCAGATTCTCTTAACAGCACCCCCGAGCTTCAGCCTGGCAATACAGCACTGATATGTTCCTCTTCTCTCCTAGAAATGAGACTGCAAGATCCAGCAAGAAGGTATGCTATGTAGTTAGTTAAAACAGATTCCATATCCATTCCAAAAAGATAAGGTTTTTTTTTCCCAAGAATTCCTATCAATCTGTAATTCAAATATTCTTTGAACTCAGTTCTCTTGCAAAAGTTTCTTATCTTTCTCCTGTAATACCTTAAAGTGTATGTAGAATGTGATAATTTCTTCTTTTGCTTCCTTGGCTAGAGAGAATTCAGTGTGTATTTTTGCATTACCCCACTAGTTTGAGTGATTCATCTTGCCTTCCAAAAATGATTACATGTCCATCAATCCAACCACAAACCATTTTTGAAAACTCCTTGCCACTGTTATATATACTGAATAAATCAAATCCAAACTATCTCAAATACATTTTTCTGTGACACAATAAAATGATTGTTAGGATTATAACAGTCTGTAGCTGGAACTGAGAGCTATTACAGCATTGAGCAAATAAACCAGCCAACCTTCCTGTTCCCCACCCCTTCCACTAAGATCACTAAGAAGTGTGTAATGCAAGTATCTGATCTTTTTCTGCAGCATCCAGAGAAGCCTGCAGAAGCAACCACCTGAACCAGTCCTCTTTGTGCTCTCCACCTCACGTGCCTTGTCTCCGAATCACTGCATTTGGGCTTTCTCCTGACACTGAGTCAGTCTGCTTGTTAGTAAACATTTTCCAATCTGCTTTTGGCTCCAAACTGGATTTCTCCTGGATCCTGAAAGCCGTGAATAGTTTTGAAGGAAAATTACCTGACAGAAGCAGAGTACAACCTGAAGAGCCCTCCACATGTTACTGCTAAGTCCTGGAAGCCTCCCTTCAGGATTAGTGCTCCCTTAGTTGCTTCAATGGCCAGGGCTAGTCAGTCCTCTTTCTTCACAACAGTCTTTCCTCCTCAGCTACTCCTCTTTCTGTCTTACCCATGTGGTGTTGCTCTTCTGTGCAAATACCCAGAAGAAATCACAGTTGCCCTGGTTCCACCTTCCACTCTTATATTTGAGTATTAAATTTCACTTTATTTTTAATCAAACCAGATCACATTTTGGCGTCACAGAAGCATGTTTGGCATGTTTAAGTTGCCACTGTGAGACTCTTCTCCAAACAGAGTTCAAACCATTATGTTACAGTCTGTACCAGACCCTTCCTAGCAGCTGTGTTTATACAGCTTCTAGTAAAATGGGTCCCTGATTAGGATTTTTGAATAGCTCATTCACTGAAAAAATGGTGTTTTGAACTAGCTAAAGCTATTTAAAAAATTGGGATAATACATGATTAAAAGTTTTGGGTTGAAGAAATGTCAGTGGCAACACCCTGCCAAATTTTAGCCCCAAAACATCATCACCATTCATATCACAAAGATTAAGTTACTGGGATTTAATTGGGCAAGAAGTGTTTTGCTTGTTTTAAAGAAAATAGCTGAAAAATTCATTTGACAGAGATTGAAAATTATATGTTCAGAGGAGTCACCCAAAATGGATAAAAACTTGGTAAATTGCATGAAGCTAAGGATATGGTTTTTATCTTGCAACTGTCAAGCAACAGTAATTTTTGGCCAGCTTGATCCAGAGTAAGAAACTGAACATTAGAGCAGCTCTGGGGTTGCTTCATGCCTCTCAAGCCAAACTGAAAAACCAAACCCCATCTTCTATTCTGGGTGACACTGATACACGCTGAAGACCCTGTGTGTTGGGCAGGTGGATTCTAAATAACCATTCTGTTCCTGCCATGCCAGCCTCTCTCCATGAGGCTGGAGGAGTGATGATGGTTGGTGTGCCAGCAGCAATGCCTTCTGGAGTTCAGGGAGCCCTACAGGCTTGAAAGGCATTAAGGCTGGGAGGAAAAGGCACCTCCTCTGGACTGTTCCCTGCTGTGGAGTTAGCTGCATTTCCAGTATTCTGCAGATTTGGCTACATGCTTTCTTGCTGCAGATACTGGCATTGAACAAAACTAGTAAGCATATATTAAGGCAGGGAAACACAAGTGCTGCTTCTGTTCCATTCAATGGTAACACATGATTAAAGGACCAAAAGCTACTTCAGCTGACAAACTCCATACTTAAATGTTTTTTTAAATTGTAAACTAAGAGCAAAGATTTATAAGTTTGTGTCATGGTTCATAAATCTAGATCTCCTCTTGTCCTTTTACTCTAGACAAATGGCTTGTAGAGGAAATTGTAGTGGTTTGGATAAGTCTGGGTTTCAGCAGTCAGCCCTCTTAGGTCAGACATGTAAGAAACATCTGTAATTGTTTGAGGAATTTGGCAGACAGTCTTGTACTTAAATCACATTTTCCCCTTTGAAAGCTGGAAATGTCCGTGTATAAATTAGACACACAAGCCACATACCTGAGCACCTGTGGAATTAGACAAGGTATCAACTTGCTGTTACCTTGCAAATCCTACTGCAAAGGAAAAGCAAGTTGATACCTTGCTATAATAAGAAGCTAGTTTATGGTTCTTAAGAACCATTTATCTTTTTTCTTCCCCAGAATGAAATCTAATAGTTTTAAGGGGAGTTGCCATTAAGAGGCAGGCTCCTTCAGTGTTCAGAATTTGCTGCTGAGATTTTGACTAAGACTAAAATCAAAAGGTTCTTTGAGTAAAATTATACAGACCCTCCTTTCCAGGCAGAATTGCTAAATTATGTGCATAGTTGTCACATACTGGGCTTCTGAGTACATTTAACTTGTGCATAGTCTGTCTAGAATCATCTCATCCTGTAATGAGATGATGTGAATTCAAAGCATATTAAATTTAATCCTGGTTTTCAGGATTATACACTGCAAATTTAAAATTGCAGAGTATACAAAAGGCATAATGTTCCTGACTGCTCAGTATAAAAAATGAAGCCCAGCTCAATGTGAAGTAAGTTTCTGGTTCTGCCACTGAAAGCAGAATTCAGTAAACTGGCTTTAGTGGGAGATTCAAGCTGATGTCTGGTGACCTTTGTCAAGCAGGACAAATGATTGCTATGTTTGCTACAATTGCATTAGTGCTGGATGCTTCTGGTACAGCCTGAGCAAATGAAGTTTAGAAGTCTGGCTGTCTGTCAGCAAACTTTGCCTTTTGATTGAGTCTATAAATGCTGTAGCATAGACCCTCCAGGCAGGAATTCGAGGCTCTGCTTTATTTGATGCCAGGTCCTTTAATAGTTTCAGAAAGTGATTTTGCTTGTAATAGAAAACCATGATGAAAACAGACAAAATCATGAATAATGTGTTAAAATCAATTCCTGTGTGTCAGCTTCCTGCATAGCATGCCCTTTGGTGGGCACAGTAGCTGTCTGAACAACCTAAGGAAGAGGCTGTCAGACCGATGCTGCATACAAGCTGCATCTCCGTGTGTTGCAGTTCAGGAATGACATATTGTAGCTGTCAACTATAGCTGGACAAAGAGCCAAAACCAGGCACAAACACACATACATCCCCACAAAAAAAAAAAAAAAAAATAAATACAAGCCCAAATTTCCAACTACCTGTTGTCTTTTTTTGTATGAATGACCTGTAAGAGCTAAAGACTGTATTGATGATTCAGAGACCCATCTGTGATTCTGACTTTGACCACTGAAATGCTGGTAGCTTTACTCTAGAAGTATCCTTGGTAGCTTTGAGCTCAAGAATATACTAGATTTCTTCCTAGCAGCTCTCAGTGCCCAATCTTTTGTGATGCCAAGCCTTCCCATGTTCAGCACCGTGCTTGATTCAAAGGACAGGCTCGGTTGTCAGTAGTCCTTGTGAGGCAGTGATTTTTATTGTGGGCTGATTGAGCAAGAATCACACTAGCGGGAATGAAGGTGGAAAAATTGTCTCCCTTTAAGCCATTGCTGGAATAAAAATCACTCCTTCTGTCTTCAGAATGTCATTAATACAGCACCATGGAAAAGGGACTTACTGTTTTCTTGCAACACTCTGGCACCTCCTTTACTCTTGTTTTCTTTTCTAGCCTCTGTGCGTTCTCCTTCCTGCTCTTTCTTCTATATTCAATATCTCCCCCTGTTTTCACTTACTCTTCATTTACACACTTAATGCAAGGCAGTCAGTTTTAACTGCTCTTTGTTGGCCTTTACTCCCTGGGAATCATCTGCATCCTTTCTGTTCCCTTCCCAGGGCTTTCTTGTATGCCAACACTGTCATGTCTTAGCCAGTTGAAAGGCTTCCTGCTCTTCAGCCAAGCAAGTAGTTGATAGCAACAACCTGGGTGCCTGACTGTACTCAGCTGAGTATCTCTCCTTCGGGATATTCTTGGTGGCTGCTGCCACGCTCGATGCAGCACAGCCCAGTATCTCTGTATGTGGTAGGGGTGGCCAGAAGGGCTGTCATAGAAAAGTGCAAACCAGCCTGATTTCTTCCACAACTGCATTTTTTTCCCCATGAAAAATACAAGTTTCCTCTTCAGGAAGGTTATAATCTTTTTGGAAGATAATTTTCACATCTTCAGGGGAATACAGTGTAGCATTTCTCTTGCAAGCCTACCTGAACCACTTCAGGAAGTGGCAGTGAGTATGTTATTGCTGATTGACAGTTGTCAGTCACTGGCTATACATCTTCAGTGTTTTTCCTGGGCACGCTGCATTGCCTGACACAGCTCTCCAGAATGTAGCAGGAGGCTGTGCAGCATTTTCAATTATTTGCTTGTGGAGATAGCTGCAGGATTGCAGTGTCAGAAATTACTGCTTAATCTTAAGGGATTTCTTGGCATTTTGTTGCCACAATAAAGTCATAGTTGTCACAATGGTTTAGTACAACCACAGAATATATGTACAATTACTCATGCAGCCTGAAAATGTAATGCAATAATAAAATACTGCATTTACATATCTGCAACTTGGATTCCTTTGAGTCTTCTAATGCTACTTTTGTTCTTTGCTGTGTTGTTTAAATGCGTATTTCTCATATTTGAGTTTTATAAAGATGTTAAGAAGAGTTGCATGCTGTCAGTCTGGTCACATTTTGCAACCAGTCTTAAATATGTGGGGCTGTGTCTCAGCTGTCTTCATTACCTAGGCATTTCAGTTTTGCAAATCCATATTTATGAGGAATTTGTTCCACAGTAGAACTGCCATTGCATTGTTAATACTAAGATGACAGTTGGTCTGAAAATGAGGTGTCAAGCACACAAAGGCAGTTTCCACTGGAGTTGTTTTCAGCTGTCCTGAGGCCCAGCCAGTCCATGTTGTGAAGCATTTGCAAAGTAAGATCAGTGCCGTGCAGAGCTGCTGCTGAAATACAGGAAGGCAGATTCTTGAGGCAAAAATGAGGTTGCTGTGTCTCCACCCTTGCCCTAGCAGGTCAAAAGGTAGCTTGGCTTAAGAACATAAAGGTATCTGCTTTCCTATGTGGCTTAGTTGATATCACTTTGTTCGGGGTTATGTTCACTGTATGCAGAGCATTAGTGTACAGGAGGAATGGATTTTTCCAGTAGAAATTATCGTAGTTGCACAAGTGTGAAAACCACTTTTTGTACTGTGTTTTTGAAGATCCTTTCTCACACTATAATCTGTATGTCTATTCCTCTTGTCTCCTGCGAGATATTTCAGTTCAAGCATTATGATTAAGTCAGAAGAGCATTCACCCTGTGTACAACTTGATGAATGCTCCAGTTACCTTCTTACCTGTATCTGTGGGATTAGACCATGAACTCTAATAGTTGAAAACATCCCTGGCAGGTTACTCATATGCACAGTAAAAAACCTTAAATGGTATCTTGTAGTGCTGCTTAGCAAAGTCATAGGCACATTGGTCATTGATGGAGTATTGCTGGAGGAGCTTTCCCAGTGCTTCTTTATGCTTTTACTGTTTCTGCTTGTCATGGTCTTAGTGACCACTTCTGGGTTTTAGCAGGACCCTTGTTTGTCGGCTA